ATTTCCGTTATTTAGCTAGAACTACGGGTGAAATACACAGAGAACATGTAAGTATTTCAATTTTCTGTAAGTATTTCATCAATAGTTCTAGCTGGAGAGCTGAAACTTTCAAAAATAAAAGATACTTGTTAGATATATATGTGATAAAAATGTCAGTTATCTATGACAAGAAAAAGTATAAAAAATGTCATTAACAATCTATCATCAGTTATCATGAGACATCCTATATATATATATAAATAGTTATTCAAATATAGATATAATTATCTGCTTGGATAGATCCGGTTCTGATTATCAACTGTTGAGTAATAAGTTAAGATTGAAATTTAAATAGCAAATATTGTTTCTAAATTTGTAACTCATCCAAGAGTTCTTTTTTGAAAGACTACGTCTGAATACCATTCTACTGATTCACTTTTGAAAACTGATTCTTTAAGGATATGTTCTTTTTTTTGTGTTGACAGTTTAGATGATTTGATTATATTAGAAGACAATGTCGACTAATTTATTTATGTTTCCGGATATTCCAGTTTCATTATAGGTTATCCTAATGTCATAAAAATCTATTTATCATTTGTGTTATGTTTATGCGAATATATTATCTCTAGATCTATATTTATCCTTCACAGAATATGATTCACTATGTATTTCTAATCTCTTTCTAGAAAGTGTCTATTGATATCAACAAAATATTTGATCTCTTTTTTTTTATTAAATTAAAATAATAAATTCAGATTCGATCTCTTTGCTTTTTTTTATTTAAAAATCTTCGTAGAATGAAAAGATGATGAAAGAAATAACAATTAATACAATCATGAATAAAAAAAAAAACTAATCACATATTCTTTAATTCTATTTTGATTTGATTGTGTTTTTTTAGCACATTATTTATGGTAGATTACATTTCTATACTGATAATAAAAAAGAAATAAAGCGTTTTATCATCTTCTATTTCTTTTGTAATTTTACGTACGTAATCAAATTGATATGTATTGTGAATCAAAGAAAAAACTCATGCACCATCAAAAGAAAAAAATACAGTTATATTTTGAAATTTTTTATTATGATTAATTTTAAAGCAATACAAGATAGTAATAAATCTATCATTCTATATCTTTTTCTTCTTTAGTTCATATTTTTTCAAAATCGAAAGCATACCAAATTGTCTTATTATTATCTCTTTTAATTTTGAAATATACATACAATTCTACTGGGAATTCTATTTGAGAGAAATACATTCATTTTAAAATTTGCTAAATAACATTCAATAATATGACAAATTTTACTGCAACAATTTTAGTAATAAATACGAGAGTTTCCTGTTAGTTGATGTCGTTTTAACCTATAGTATTTCTTTAGTAGTATGGTTTCTGGTTTTTAAATATTTTTAAATGTAAATAAGGATTTCATCTATTTATTTGATAACAAAGTCTTTGCAATGTTTAATTATTATTCTTATAATTTCAACGAACAAGGCAAATAATTCGTATAGATTTGCATATGAAAATCGCTCGCAAATTAACTGATCTACATACTTATATAGTAAAATAAATAATAAAATAACACTTTATGTAAAGAAAATTCTACTTACAATATTTAACTATGTTGTTTTGTTTTTTAACGACAGATATGATTCAATAAAATCAATCTAGACCTATTGAAGAGAATATAAGGCTTGGAATAAAACACATTTTCGAGCTGATCCTCAGAATTCAATAAAAAGAAACGACGTTTTATATATAAAGATGGGTAATTTAGCGAAACTAAAAGAGGTGCAAATAGGAAATTACTGAAAAATACCATTCGTTTTATAATATTTTCTGGAACTCTTATAGCAGAGATGGAACTGGTTCAGGTTTTTTTAGCACTGATATCGGTACCGATAAGTTTGTCAGTAGACCGGTTGGTCTGAAATCCATGTCGATATTTAACTAACGAGTTATCGTACATTCCATCTGTGGATAGTGATATATGACAAAATCAACCTTCATCAAAGTCTCATTACACATACTCTATGATAGACAAAGAGCAAAACAAATTACTAAGACACTCCGGTACCAATTCCATTTCTATGTTATAGTATCAGAAGAATAATAGTAAATATAACTGTACTTCCTATTTCTAATGACACAAGTCAAAAGTTAAAGTCGCATCTTTATATCGTGTTCTAGAAATTGAAATCAATCCTACTCATGAATTTTTTAGAACTTTTTTTAAACTTGCAAAAAATTCTTGGATCTCAAATCAATTAAAATACATGTTTTACTATGCGAAATAGGGAAAGCTATTATTTTTGATGTAACCAAACTGAATAATTTCATGATAGATATACAACTGTCGATATGCAACTGACACAAAAGATATTAACCACTCTCGATCTTTCAAATTCTAGTTTATCAGAAAATGAACACTTATAACGAATTAACATAATTGTTAGATCCACAAAGTAAACAAGAAAGAACTTTGAAACAATGGAATACAAATGTAAGTATTAAACGAATAAATAGTAACAACACAAATAAAAGATAGAGGATCTACAATAATAACTTACATTCCAAACAGAACAATGAATGAAGACAAAATATTTTGACAGTTAATTAACATTAGAAATTTATAATTCAATGTATTTTGCATTTATATCATATAGCTAAATATGATATATGCCTTTCATATTTCGGTCATGAAGACTTGTCCTGACAAGTTTTTCTTGAGATGATGAATCTCATTTTTAGATTTATATCTCTTAAATATAGAATTAATACATTAAACATGAGCAATATTAAGTGTCATTATAAAATGCTACACCTAATAAAATTAAAAAGAAATAAATTAATAAGCATCGGCTTTGTTCTAACAAGAAAAGTTAATGTTAAATCAAAAGAACGTACATTAATCTCAAAAATAAATTTAGACCTAATATAATTTCCAAGAGACGATAGTACATTTAATCCACCAATCAAAAAAAAAAGAACTTGATGCACTAATTAAAATAATAGATGTACTTCAATGAAGTTCTGCGTCATAAAGCTTAATACTGACAAGCACTTAACATAAAACACTAAAATATCACATCAAAATAAAGACTGGAAAATAGAAATGAAAAAATAGGTTTTTAAGAATTTGTCTTTCTTTTTTTATGAATTTAATTTCACGTAATACAATCTAGCATAATATGTTCAAGAAATACATCTTTATTGAAATTTCAAAGCAAAAAAATATTTATCATAAATTTTTCAGCGATTGTTTTTGTAGATAACCATATGTATTGATGTGGTGGAATTAGAAGATGTTCATTAAAAAAAAAATCTTATAACAATTTTCAGAGGCGGAGTGACCGAGGGGGATGGAGTCACCATTCTGCTTCAAGAAGTTTTGACTCGAACTCTCTTCGGATTTGAAAATTTGGATGGGTCACTTTTCTTCAAGTTTGAAGAACTTGCTTAGCAATTTTCTCTGATTTAGGATCAATCTTTCTACTACGACGTCATTACGTCGTTTCTGACACTTTAGAAGATTATACGTATGCAATTAACTGTACTATAAGTCAGGATTTATATTCATGAGTAGTGGTGACACTAATGAAATTTCTAGACTGCTCATTATTTCAAGTATTATAATTCAACAACTACCTTGACGTCATTATTTTTGGTTCATTCATTTGTTCTTGTGTAATTCATTGATTTCAACAAGATAGGACTCAGGAAAACAAAATTTTACAAAAAATAACAATCGAAAGCTTTATTTTTATTTTTTACATATTTTTATGTTATAAATACTAAATAATGACTTTCTTTGCTTATCATATTATTTTAATTTAAATAGTTAAAAATCTTCTGTTATAATTCTAATAATATACTATATTAATTTATAATAATTAATTGAACAGAACATAATGAGAAATAATTATAGTATGAAATAAATCTGGTGAAAAAGCTAAAAATATAAACATACAAATATGTCAAATAAAATCAGCGATTCTGCAAAATAGATATGTATTAATCTATCTTTGTTTTTTCTATGACAAATATTTAAAAAGCATGAATAAACTTGTCAATGATGACAAAGAAGAATTCATGGTTAAGTAAACAATACTATAAGAACTTTTCAATTTCGATCAATAATTGCTTGATCAATCAAAATCTTTTACTTTTTTCAAAATTTTTAACAAATTCATGGGTCTTATGAATCTTATTAAAAGAAATGAAGACTTACTCTTTTCGCTGAATAACCAGGAACTAGTGGTTAGAGCAAAACTTTTTTTTCTGTATTTCTTATATAAGAGAAGCATTGAAGGATGTCTGGGCTTTTTATTTCTTTTCTTTTGAAAGATAACCTATGATATTTTCTATAGGTTGTACTTGAAATATATTTCTATTTGACAAAATGGAAGAATTTTATGTGAAAAGAATATTTCTCATGACAGAAAAATGTACTTCAGCTTTTGCTTTTTTTTTTCTCTAACAAGACATAATTGTAAATCCAACTATATGCATAGATAAGACTATTTTTCGAAAACAACGAAATCCGATTCTTTTATTTATTAAAATCATCATTTTTTATAATGAATTTTTAATCAATGCCAAAGCTGATTATAATAAGAATGGTTCATGTTTTTAACAAAAATACTTTAACAAGATTTTTTTTCAACACTTTTGTAAATGTTTCTTTTTCTTTTTTTTTGATACCTATAAAATTATTACACATTCTCTATAGAAGACAAAAACAAATTCACTTTTTTTCAGACCTAGACAATAATAGAATTACTGTAAAACTTCTGTTTTAATAAAAACAAAAACAGATCGAAGGCACTCGGTATTTTTTTTCAGACGAATTTTTTCTTTATATGCATAAATAATCGATGAAAGCACGTTCGTGGCCGTAGAAACGGTGACATGAGAGAGAAAGAGAATGACAAAAAAAAATAACATTCATCAACTTATTTTGCTTTTTTCTGAAACAACACTTTTGTAGGATAGGATATTTATTTTAGAGAAAAATAAATGGCAGATTTTGAACAATCTTTGTTATCGTCAACAGAAGACAGGTAAAAACCAATAGATAAAAAAAATTGAGATAAAATATTCAATTTTTTTTAATATATTTAAGAATAAAACATGGTGTAGTAGTTCTTGGTGGTGGTTGGTCTGGTCTTTATGCTTTAAAATATCTTTTAGCTGAAGGTCTTGATGCACATTTATACGAAAGTCGTTCAAATATTGGTGGTATTTGGTATTTTGATGAAAATGAAAATGTTAGCGGTGTTTATAAAACAGCTCATGTTACATCATCAAAAACATTTTTACATGCATCTGATTTTCCAATTCCGACTACAATTGGGGAATTTCCTCATCATGAAGAAGTTCTTGCTTATTTACATTCATATGCTGATCATTTTAAACTTTGGTCAAATATTCATCTTAATTCAAAAATTGTACGTGTAGAACCACAATGGACTCTTACATTAAATGATGGTTCAAATATAATTGATTGTGATTATCTTGTTGTTTGCTCAGGACAACATCAAATAGCTAATGATCCACGTTCAAGTTATCCATTTAATCAATTTACTGGTACATTTTCTCATAGTATAACATATAAAACTCCATATGATAATAAATTTATTAATAAAAGAATTCTTGTTGTTGGTGGTGGTGAAACAGCAAGTGATTTAGCTGTTGAATTAAGTGCTACAGTAGCTAAACGTGTATATATGAGTATTCGTGAAGGACAATGGTTTCAATCACGTATATTAGGACAACAACCAGCTGATATTATGTATACAATGTTAATGAGATTATTTGGTTATTATAATAATATATTCGTTCGTTGTTGGAGACGAATGTTTTTTGTACCTATGTGGGGTAGTGGTGGTACAGGTGTACCTTATTGGGCTCCAACAGTACCATTTTTACATGGTTTTATTAATAAAAGTCGAGAAGTTGTTGATTATATTGCACTTAATCGTGTTGTTCCAAAACGTGGAATTAAAAATATTGATGGACAATTAATAACATTTGATAAAGAAGAAAATCCAATTGAAATTGATCATATTCTTTTATGTACTGGTTTTCAATGGACACATCCATTTTTTTCTAATACAGATATACATGATTTATATAAACTTGTTTTTGCATCTGGTGTTAATGGAACTTTAGCATTTGTTGGTACAGCAAGACCAGTATTTGGTTCTATACCAACAATGGCAGAATTACAAGCACGTTGGATAGCTGCAGTATTTTCTGGTCGACGACATTTACCATCAGAAAAAGTAATGGCTCAACGTCGTCGAGCATATTGGGCAAGACATGCTTGTCTTTATCCACATGATCATAAACGTCTTAAACAATTAGTTAATCTTTTCGAATATAGTGATGTCATTGGTGATGAATTAGGTGTACGAATTAATTTATTTTATTTATTTTTTCGACATCCAATAGCTTGGTATCATATTTATTGTGCTTCTCCATGGTCACCATTTCTGTTTCGTATTGGTCGATTATCATCGGACGATGAAAAATTAGCTTATCAACGACATTTATCATGTATACCCGAAAAAAATCAAACATTTCATCGATATAATGATCTTATGCTATATGCATGGTTAATAATAATATTTTGTTTGATTATTTTCATAATTTTAATGTTAATTTTCATGTTTTTTTATTATTATAAATAATAGATAACTGTTTTTTTTAAGTTAATTCATACAAATGGAAAATCTTTTTTCTGTTAAAAGAAGATTAATTTTTCATGTTTTCTTGTAAATCCTTTGTCATTCACTGTGATCGTTTAAAAGAAATTTTGATTACTCTTTTTTCTCTGTACACAGTATTATGTATAGATGAAACATAAATAAAAGAATTCGAGAACAGCTGCCCTTCACTTTCTTATTTGTCATTTACTTTTTCTTTTTTTTTTATTGACGTCACAGACACATCACAATCTTATATTGTTGACAATTACACCTCCATCTATTATATAAAACAGAAATAGTATAACTAGTTCTTGCTGTAATTATCATTGGGTAAAGTCGTGACTATAGAAAAGAAAATGAATTCAAGAGATAACTTTCCTCAACACTTCATGCCTATATACGACATGCACGAGTCTCAGTTTAACTAGGTAACAGTCTATTTAGATTTCAAGCCAACTGCGAATGAACACGATTTCATATCAATCAAAATGATTAATAGTCCCACTGGGCATCAATCTCAGAAGTATCTATTTGATAGAACATTGTTTCGACTGAGATTGACGTATATTTAGTTCATATCGAAAATCTTTTGTTGATTAATCAAAATGAAAAGTACAGATACTTTTTTTTTGCTCTTGAATAAATATCATTCTATTTTGCTTTCTTTCTCTTCACAATGTGTCTTATTCATCTCAAACTTACGACTAAAGTTAAGAACAAATAGTCCTGTTTTGATCGCATGCTTTTTTATTACGTTGATGATTCATCACCTTTCGTCACTACTTGAGTAAATGTTCTATTTCTTTTTTCTTTCCGCTTTCTTTTTTTTTTTATTCTACTCTTTAAAAAAACTGTCGGTTGTCACCGTCAACCATCATCATAACATTGCATTAACTTACGGCTTCGTTATTCTGTAAAATATCCTTGGAGAAAGAGTAGGAGCCAGCATAGAAGAAAAAAAAAAGAAGGGGTAGGCGGAAAATATGAAACATCGATAAAATTCTACAATTGCTTGATCATGTAACGAAGAACAAAACAAATGATTTTATTATTGAAAGGAAATTTTACGGATAAATGTATTTGTCCTCTTTTATTATTATTATTTTTTTCTAGATGGATACTTTAGATACTGACACATACTTCGAATTTAAGACCTATGAAGAATTTCAAAAAGAACGATTGAAATTAAATTATGATAGTACATTAAAATTATGGTATTCATTACCTAATGGTCTCCCAGCAACTGATAACAATCTAGTCAGACGGCAAACACCTAAACAACAACGAGCACGTTTAAGAAAAATGAAATTTTTTGCTTTTTATTGTACATTGTTCAAAAAAACCTTTCTCAAAAAAAAAATTCATTCTAAAGGTAAATAAAAAAAAACGTTTTAATAATTAATTGAGCTAGGACTGTATAACAAATTAATTTCGATTATTGTCGATTTTCAAGATAATTTTCAATGAAACTATTCAAAGAGTATAAATTAGATTACTATGGGCTTATATCAAAGAATCAAATTCACCAAGATCACATAAAAATTATAATTTTTAAGATAGATCACAGAAAATATTTGGTTGATTTTGTTTTTTTTATTATTCTAATATAGTAGTTTTTAAAGCAAAACAAAAATAGAACAATATACTTTAATAAAAATTTGATTTTGTTTTTTTCTTTAAGGTTTTCGACTATGGAATGAAACATTAAATGTACCCACATTAACAGATGACTCACTTTATGGTATCTATCAATCAATGGGTCGAATCACTTCAGAGTTTCTTAATAAAGGACTACGATATGATGAAACCATCAGTTATGAAGAGTTATTTAAAGCTGGTCGAACTGTTTGGTTCATGATTGCTTTTCAAATGCAACTTAACTTACCTTTAATTTTAACTGATTCTATATTTGGTTATAATATGCTTTATCCATATACAGATGATTTAGTCGATTGTAATGATATCAGTAGAGAAGCAAAAGTCGATTTCGCAAAACTTTTCCATGAACGACTACTGATTGGCGAACCAACATATGATCCTACAGTACATTTTGATGGTAAACAATCAAATGTTTCGGAATTAAATTTACCTCCATCATTAAAATCACAAGCTAATCGTATAGTCAAAATATTTGATATGGTTAAATTTATTGAAAATGATTGGAGGCGTGGTGATGAATATGAAGGTGTTTATATGAGTTTAGCTACAATACATGAATCACAAATGAAATCCACATTACAACATGCAAGAACTGAAGATGGTTATGAACCAACAATGACACAAGTCGAACAAGTTAGCGCAGAAAAAGGTGGTGCATCATTAATAGCTGCTGGATTTTTAATTGAAGGACGATTAACACGAGCTAAAATGGCTTATTTAGAATATTTAGGATTTGGTTTACAATTACTTGATGATTTACAAGTAAGTTTTAATATTTAAATTAATATTTGAAAAGATAATATTCTTTTTTTTTTTGTTTCTTTTTAGGATGTAAAAGAAGATATGAAAAATAATCATCGAACAATTTTTACTCAAACTCTTGCTGAAGGTCGATCATTAGATGCACCAACAGCACGTCTTATACAATATTGTTATTGTGCACCAGCATATGAAAAATTTAGTGATGATCAACGTACAGTTTCAGATCGAAAAACTGGTGTTACATTAGCGCAATATGTTCGAATATCAATGATGATGTTTTCTGTTGTATTAGTTTTAGAAGCTGCATCACGATTACAAGAATATTATTCAAAAGAATTCTATTGTGAATTATCTTCATTAAGTCCAATTACATTTAATGATCTCAAAACAGTTCGTGTTGAAGAAACAATTTGGGCTATTGTACGAAATCAATGGTTTTGATAAATTATTTTTTTAGTCTTTTATTTAACAAATTGTGATAATCTACTGATTTTATTAATATATGTTTTGATGTTTTTTTATGTTGCCAAAAAAATCAAAATAAAAATGAATGATATCACTCAATCGAATTTTTTATAGATCGAAGAAACATTTAAAAAAATGATTAGTTATACCTCTTGATATACAATTCGTATGCTGGAAAATATTTTTTTGTGATTTGTTAATGAGCTCATCTACTTTCTTTACATCACTATGAAATTTTGACTGTAATTTATTATTAATGAGATGATGCAGAACAAATGACGAAATTTACATGCATAATCAATTAAATATTGGAATCAATACGTTCATATGTAATCATTTTGAGAGAGTTTTGAAAACTTTCGTTCTACTTTGTCTATTTGATATTGTTCGAACATCAGTTTTACACATAATATAAACAGAAAGTTTGAGAGAATGCTTTCTGTTGGATTTTTTTACAAACAATGTCATGATTACAGGAATGTGTTTCAAAAGAATTCGATGAAAAAGCAACGGATCTGGGATTTCATAAAAAAGGGTCACTTCTCTGAAACAGGACTGTTCTAAAGGAAATCACTTTTTTTAGGCTTATCTGGCACAGTGCAAGCTCATCTTGTTAAAAAAAGAAGCAAATAAAATCTCGTTCGAAGCCAAAAGCGATCTTCCCTTCATTTTCTTCGATAAATCTATAACTGCAATAAAAACTGCTAAACATTTGATCTTAATACATTTGATAATTTCAAAACAACTTGTATATAAAACAAAGATGTAGACTAGTAAGGATCGATAGGAAATATCATTGCAAAAATCAAAGTTTAAAGTATCATAACTTTGTTATTTTTTTTGGCTACGGACAAATGATATGCAACCCAGTGTTCTCTACATGTCTTTTTAAAACTCATGAACATGTCTTGTATATAATCGAGCTATTGGGAGCCTTCAACAAGAATAATTCAAAAATTTCAACTTCATTCTAAATCATTTTACTTGCTGTTTAAAAAAAACAACAATCACTAGTTATTGTACTAGTCGATAGAGCATATTTCACACTACAATCAATAAGAATAACTCATCTCTATGTCCTTTATTTTGAGGTCGCAGTAGTGAAAATAGTAGTAGGTAATAAATAATAACAAGTAAGAATTCTGCTCGGGATAACTTTATTGGGACTATTCTGAATAATCGGATACAAAGTTCTTTATCCTTTGGACAAATAAAAAAAAAACTTCGTCAGCAAATAATATATCACTTCTCTTGGTCACTGTATTTTGTATGGTTTATCTTTGACTCTTTTACACTGCATTGTGAAGAAGTAAGTAAATATTTTTAATCTTATCTTTTATCAGTTCTCAACTATGTTGTTATTCGTGCCAGCTACAATAACTAGCGAAAACTTTTGAAAATAAATAAATGATAAAACAACAGATCAAATACTCTAAACAGTGAAAAGTATTGATACCAACTAATCCAATTCTTTTTGATAACTAAAATCTAACGCTTAAATGTTTCTATTCTATAAACAAAGTTCAGACTCCATCTGAGTCAAAATTATGCAAGCAAAAACGTATAGCATACAACGATAACAATGAATAAATGTTTCGATATTACTGTTTCAAATAGGTCATTGACATCGATTAAATGAACATTTTTAAGGGTCATCATGATAAGTAGTGAAGCCAATAAAGCGCATAAATCTTAAAACAACACATTCTTTTCTGTATTACACATTGTTATTCATGATAGAATACTGCAACATTAACAAAAAACTTATCTTCATCGTGAGCTACTCTGTCTCATGTTGAGAGCATGTATTTTTAAGACGATGCCCATCTCTGACCCTTTCAAAACGTTGTTAGAAATTCTGTATTGGACTATTTGCATGAATCTGGTGAATTTCAAGATTCAATAACACAAATACTACTCGAATTAAAGAATCTCTCATGATAAGAAGTTCTGGTCCAGATATTCATCTTCAGAATTTCACCTAGATTTCTAGATTTCTTTTAATCGACGATACTAATCTCAGTTATACTATTGATACCTATATATATACGAAAAATTTCGTTATGTAGTTGCCATAAATTATCACAAGAGTACAATATTCTAAAGATTAATTACAATTCGATGAGTATCATGAAATGAGCGAAGCGCTGTAGATTTCCAATAGCATCTTCACTTCTCGTTCACTAAAAGTACAATATGCTTTTAATTTCAATGTCATGTAGAGTAATCCATCTGATTTGTATCTCTATAATGACAAATGATGTAGACTTACAAATAGGAAATTTTATCTTTTTGACAGTAAATATGAACACTGAATCTTAAGTGAAGCTCATCTCTATGAGATCCTTTCAAATATTAATAAACTTACCAATATCTCCCTGACTGTTTAAATGTTCTCATATGGGTATCGTTACTTGTTTTTTACTCGATGCATTTGTAATAGATACATTGAATAAAAGTCCATATCATATCGTATTATACATGAGTGCAGGATTTACATTATTATATAAGATTCTGAAGATTAATCGACGCTGAAATTGCATCGAAACTACGTACTATACACATATCCTAGGCAAAACTGAACTTAGACAAATTTGTTTTTAATTAGACGCGAAACTACGAAATAATCTTCTTTTATTTAAGCATCAATTCTAATTTTTGTTTGCATTAAGAAATCAGTACGAGTTAATTTTTTTAAATGAAGTAGAGTATTCATTTTCACTTACTCAAATTTTGATATGTGCAACAATGTCTTATTATGCATCAGCATCGAAAAATGATTTTCGAAACTACTTCTATCAACAGTGATCTATTCTTTTTGGTTGAAACATAACTCAGCAATAGTTAGCAACATAATGCATCTATTTTGTATATATTATCTACAAATCAGATTAAAATCGAAGACAAATTCAGATTGATAAAAAATACTGCTCAAACAACTTAAGCTTAATCCTTCGAGTACAGGTGACGAGAACTCTCGTCTTGAGATTTCGAACTCAGAATAGCTTTTAAAGATCTTACCTTTTGATTATTCGATGGTATGAATGCATGAGTATTTGTGCGGTGAAGATAATATATACTTCCTGTTAATAACTGATTGTTTCTTGTAATAGTTCTAGCAATCAGCCAATGATTTCAGAACTTGAAATCTCAGGACGAGAGTTTTGATCTTTCCTACTCCAACCATTAAAGATTCTTTCTTTTTTTGTTTGATTGAAACATACTAAGATGAACTAGATTCCAATTGAATACACTAGAGAACTCTATAACTTTATTTGAGTTTGGAATGTGTGAATTATTTTTAAATATTTCTCTTAGAAACAAATTTATAATAAATATAAAGCTTTGTAAACAAGATAGAATAATTGATTTAGACAAGAGCTCACAAAAAAAGTCATAATAAATCAAAAAATAAGAAAATTTGATTCTTTTCTCTGAACTTTTTTTCTTTGATTGAGTTATTAAAAAATTGGATTCAAAATTTACCAAGAATGATTATGCATCATACGTTAATCATTGATTATAATATTTAGACGACAAAGTTAACTTTTTTTTAGAACCGTCCATATGAACCCCGGCTAGTTCGGATACATACTTAACAAACAACAAAATTTTCTACAAAATCTTTCACCAATCATTCAATGTTCCTATGTCCTTGACATAAAAAACATATCATCGAGATATGCATTCTATTGAACAAAAAAAAAATATAGTCAACTTATTATTGTTTATACACTTTTGAATTGAGTAATTTTGATTCAGATGAAATCTGAAAATCTTTTTATAAAACTAAAGTATGTAAGTGTTAGACTCTTCATTATCAAATGAAATAAGATCAGTTCACATCAATACTTTGAACTAGTAAGGTATTTGATGTTTTCTTTTGGCGTTTATTTATTTAGTTTCTATAGTATCTGCTAGCTATTGTAGCTGTCATTGATGTACAACGTATTTAACAACTCATAGTAGAAAAGACTATAAAAGTATTTATTTACTTCTTCAAAATGCAGTATAAAAGAATCAAAGATAAATCATAAAAACATATTTACCAAAAGACATGATATATTATATGCTGTTAGAATTCTGTTATCTATCATAGCGATAGATAAATCTACATTCGATTAGTCAGAATAGTATCAATGAAGCTATTCTGTACAGCTTTTTTACTTTTTATTAGTAATTACCTTTTACCATTTTGACATTGTTACTGCAAAATAAAAAATATAGACGAGTCATTCTTATCAACTGTATTATGAGAGATAAATTTGTCCACTAGTAGAATAATTACTGATTCATGTTTTCAAATGACAAGTAAAGTGATTTAAAATTAAGTAGAAGTTTTTCAACTATTTTAGCTGATCGTTCATAATAGTTCGCTTCTATACAGAATATTTTAATAATTTTCTTGTGTGCGGCCATTCTTAACAATTATGGAAGCTTTGTAACACATTAGATGATGAATGAATTTCGGAAAATGCTTTTTCAGGATTTTCAGATAGGTATATAGAAAACAGTTCAGAGTGTACGTTCAGTATTTTGTGGTCAAAACAAAATAAACTTATGATACACTTCATACCTCAATTTCCGGAGAGACGCTCAATATACCCCCTAAGTACTCAATTTTATTCTCGATAAATCTAATAATATATGCCTACTGAAAATCTGCACATTTGATGATTATAGAGCACTTAATGATCTATTCTTCTTACCTTAATATAGTTCATTACAATTCAGAATAACAAAGTTATTTCATAGTATACTATTGAAAATCTTCGTCAAATCAATCAAATTCTTCAGCATATCAAGATATATGTATCAATGCCTATATTTTTAAGAAGTACAATATGTATGCCGCAACTGATCTTTGATACAAATAAATGCTCATCTGAATAACAAATGTGAACGATACAAAAAAAACACAATGTTTGATTAGCAAGGTCATCATGAAATCTAGACTATGTAATATTCAGTAAAAC